GTTTTGCTGGGTATTCGTAGTAGGTGCAGGGTTGTATACCAATCAAGTCGATTGAATTGATTGATTTGTTTCAACGCGTATTTTGAGTTGATTGGATTGAGTCGATTGACTTTTCGAGATGACTGGTTGACTGACTCGTTTGGCTTTAGCGACTGGTTGACTGATTTGATTCCCGAAAATTAGAGTGACTCGTATGATTGAGTCGATTGAATGGAAAGTTCAAATAAGTTTTAGTTGACGAAAAATAATGACACCAATTGGTGACATCAAAGATCACAAAACTACACTGAAAACTGCTTGTCATCACAACTGCAATATGGGGTAGAAGGCCAAATAAAGAACAGGGCCTAAACATGAACAGCCAACTTTGACTTTCAACTGCAATAACTGCTCCAATCCTGGTGATAGAACCTGGCGATGCACATACCTACCTTTCTGCACTCAGCAGGAAACGTTTTTTTTTTTAAATCCAGATGATAAAGTGCAAGGCCCTATATACTAATAAAGTGTGATTAATTAATAATTCACACCTCCACATCTCCTCAGAAACAACCCACTGAACGGTTAGGGCCTTGCACTGAACTCTATAAATATCTGAAACCCCTACAAAAATAACTGAGACAAAAGCGCCGTTTTCGTCTCGCTAATTACGTTTACGGGCCTAATTAATAGCTAATTTGCTGCATTGTTTAATTTGCAGCAGAACGTTTGTTGATCCTTTTCTCCTGAGAGCCTAATCATAACATATTTAATATATTTCATTTTCCTTAAAATATTTTACCGAATTTTATTAATAGTGGTTTTATTTCAAATGATATCATAATCAAAACGAAATTGGTGTTGTACAACCGATTTATTTTATGATGAGCTACCATACTACATGATAATCAATGACGTCATCTTACCAAAAAATCAAAATACGTAGAATAAGGATTTATAAAAGCTTAGCATACTTATTGGCAAAAAACGCAGTCTCACCGTGCCGTTTTCGCGTTTTAATTTTTCTTCACTATGATCTTGCAATTTATCAACTTTATTTCATAAATGTACAAGATTAATCACAGGCTATATTAATAAGGAAAGGAAGGAATGATTGACCTACCTCACAGGTACCTATCTACCTTCGTTAGTACTGTTGGTAGCCAGTGGACACATCTAGGCAGGTAAGTAGGTACCTACCTGCTTTCCTGCTGTCTTCATAAAGCATACCTAATGAAGTTGTCAAATTTGTAGCACATTTTCAACACTTTCATATGGTGTCAGTGTGGCATGAAACCTAGCTAGGTTCATTATGTTCAGGATTCATTTCAGAAGAGCTCCGCATAACTCACATAAGAGACAGACAGGGGCTTTACATGAGGTAGATGGCCTGATGACTTAGCTGGAATATGGCCAAAATTAAATTGACAACTTTTAGGTGAAAGGTGGTGATTTGGGTTAAGGGGCGAGTCAACTACTGGGTTATTTTGCACCCATTAAATGAAACTTCTGCTCCAATTCTACCCATTGAACCTCAGTATCATGATCCACCTGTCCATCACTAGGTATCCTTCCTTATGACATAGAAACTTTGAATGGCATGGTAATTTATAATTTTAAATGACAATATTTTTATGTTTCTTCTGTAGGTACCAGGCCCGACTGGAAAAAATGCCTCCACTACGCTGAAGTTCTCGGCGGAGGTGATGCGCCGAAATTTCGGCGCAAGGGTTTATGCGCCGAAATTATTTTACCAAGCCATGCTTCATGCGCCGAAAATTTTCAAGGCTTACTGATGGCTGCAGGCTGTAGCCACGCACTTTTCGTCGAGGGGGGGGGGGGGGCTGGCGTGTGTGTGTGACTGTCTTCCAGTGACTACTGTCTACAGACGGTTGTTGGCACGGTTGACGGGATCGGGCAGACAAAAGACATCAGCAGGCCATGCGGGACCGAGCAACAGGGTTCGCTATCACAAAATTTCCTGACTCACAAACTCACTGGCATGTTCCATAACGTAACCTTTATTTTGTTGCCCGGCTCTGATCAGCAGTAGTGCCCAGCCGGTGACTGACGCCTGACAGGGCCTTCAACAGGCGTGGTGCAAGCACGGCCGATGGGATCGGGCAGATACCAGGCCACGCGGGACCGATTGCCAGCGTCCGCTCACAAACCACACGCCGGAAATACAGGAATCACAACGGTCAATACACACACGATAGCATACGTTATCTGAACTAGGGGATCCAACAATCCATAACCTCACTCTGGATCGGTGAACTGTTCCCGCCGTGGGAGAGTCGCAATCAGGTTCACTGAACATGACTTAAATACCCTGAGACGAACACGAGACAAGATAAGTGATATTTAAGATGTTTAACTCCCGAAGACATTTAACCCTCGCCGGCCGAGGGGGGGTGGTGCCACCCCCGGACGTTTTTTTCGCGATTTACGCCGAAGTACGCCGAAAATTTCGGCGCAAGCCGTCGATTTACGCCGAAGTACGCCGAAAATTTTCGGCGCAAACGCCCAACTACGCTCGAGTTCTCGACGAAAGCGTGCATTTTTTCCAGTCGGGGTACCAGGTAGGTAGGTAGGTACACTAGACTGCTATGGACACTTTTCCAAGTTGGTGGGGCAAAAAACCTAATGTATATCTTGGTTTGAGTCGTTTGATTGAGTTGATTGATTCCTTTCATTGGCGCGTTTGAGTCGATTGAATCAATTCCCGAAAACTGCTCTGACTTGATTGATTTGATTGGTTTCCCAAATTTGTCGTGATTGAATTGATTGCTATTGATTGAGTCGTATACAACCCTGAGTAGGTGTCAACCGCCTCTGACAGCTTCGTAACATGTTACGAAGGCACCAAAACCACTTCGTAAATGTTCATATGGTATGGTTGCTAAATTCGAAATCAGCTTAACAAACTGGCCTAGAAACATGTTAACCCTCGCCCGTAAACGGCGATCTGCCACCTTCGCCCATGCAGGGGGGGGGGGGGGGGTTGGTGCGACCCCCCCCCCCTTGGCGTTTGAAAACGGAGCGTCGTAGAGCTTAGCGGAAAAAACCAACGGATTGCTCTCGCCGAGATCTCGCGATTGGTGGTATATTTTTTGGTCCTAGGTCAACATTTGACCTACTTTTGACCGGTCAAAGGTCAAATTTTTCGGAAAAATAGACTTTTTCAACTTTCCGCGGCGATTGCGGCAAAACGGTGGGAGATATCGACTTGAAACCTTCACTATCGTGTTCCTTGATCAATTCTCTATTGTTTGGTATGTATTTCGTTTCCCTAGCTCTAAAAATGGCGCGTTGGGAGCGCCGGAAGTCGGCAAGGTCACAGTCGGTGGCAGAAATTCGAAAAATCAAAATTTAAATTTTTGAAATCTGATTGTATTTTTGGATTTGGGAGGTCCATTTGCTCCCTATAGAAGCTAATATTGCTGCATATTCCCATCGAGGTGACAAGAATTAGCAAAATAGTGGTTCGGGCGCTTTTCAAAAATAGTACCGGACGCTGTTCCTCTTGTGACGTCATAGCTCCGTGACCTGACCTGACCCGGTCAAGTTTCTTATACCATATGATAGCCAATACTTGCCCCAACATGCATGGGAAGTTTCATCACGATCCATCAACCGATGTCCGTACCACCGGCAGGAAACCTCGGGCGTTGGCACTCAGTTTGTGAAAATCCGGCCGGAGGCTGTTCCCTTTGTGACGTCATAACTCCGTGACCTGACATGACCCGGTCAAATTTTTTTTATCAAAAGATGCGCAAGGTTTGCCCCATAAGGTACCCAAAATTTGGCGGCGCTGCGCGCCGCCGTTTTTGCACTATTTCCGAAAAACCTCAGGGGGGGGGTTGCACCAACCCCCCCTACATGGGCGAGGGTTAAACTCGAAAAAGTGAACCGAGGTCAACAAAGGTCAATGACCTGACCTGACCCTCAGGTGACCTTGACACCCACCCTAATGCATGGGACCAACATCATTTCACATGTTTGAACGCTTGAAACAACGAAAAGACTGGAAACGCGCGGCTAATGCGGGCCGACATACGCCGAATCGCGATTCCGGCCAAACGTGGTCTCGAAAAGTAGGTCACATGTCAAAGGTCATATGGGTCAGGGTCATGAAATTTTCAAGGTAGGTGTAGAATTGATCATTTCGAGGGTACTGAAAGTTTCGTCGCGATCGGCCGCTTTTTACGCGACTTATTCGCGAAAAACCAAAAGGGGGTTGTCCGTTCGACTCCCCTCCTACGGGTGAGGGTTAAAATTGGGTATCATCGGTTTTTTATCGTCACGGGCAACGCGTTCGCTTTTTTTCAGCGAAGCTGTAGCTCGATCAGGGGCCAAACGGCAAGAACCCCTCCCTCCCCCGCTTATACGTTGGCGGCTGGAAAAACACCAAAACGGGCGAGGGCTTAGTTATTACTGCTTGATTAACAGTTATTGGCCAATTTGTCGCTGCTAAAAAAAAACTCTACTGCCGTTCATCACCGTCCCTAGGCCACCTCCTATCCCGATCAACGATTCTTCAGCTGGACCTCTGCCCTATGAGTTGACCCGTGCCGGCTCCCGAGCGCACGTCTAGATCCGCCTCTGTTTCCGATAGGCGGGGAGCGTCGAGGGTCCGTATCTGTTTGGTCAGCCACGTCCGTTGCACTGACTCAACTTGGACGGCCGTGAACGCGGCGCGATAAGATGTCCCACTCACCAGCCCTCAGCTCAAATTCAGCCAATATTACCGTCTGCCTGCCTGGTGCAGTCCGTCGTCAAATTATGTGTTTCGTATTTTCAAATGTACCTATATTCCCATGTTTCTATGAAAATTAGATTCGTGAGGACCTTTGCAAGAGGACTTACGTAGACTAACCCGAGAAACATTCACGATGATCAACTAAGCTAAGGGCGTTTGTGTATGTGTTGGACTGGTTTGAAGGATCCATGTCGCACAAAGTCTGAGCGTGTGCATTCTTTCAACGCAAATCACAAATGCTTGCATAATGAACAAAAGCCTTGCCGTTGCGAGCTATATTCATGCAGCCAAGGCCATATATAGTCATGCAGCAATGTGCAGTGCACAATATGGGGTCAGGGATGAGCATTAAAACATTGAACACAGTTTGAGCTGGTAATCTTAGAAGCCAACAAAGCACACAACAGTCCAACCACTTGATTGGCCCAGCACCGTGCTCTCGCCTTCTCACGGGGCGAGTGAGCGGTCACAAAATAACACTTATTGACGCACCAGCATCTCTAATAGTTTGCACAAATGCGACACAACAATGTTTGGTCACAAGACCGCAAGCAACTGATGCGGTTCGACTTCCTGCCAACAGGACGCTTAGGAAAGGTCTTCTAGCCACACACGGTGGCTTACACGAGTCATTTCATATCACAATACACAATCAATACTCGCACACTGGTGTCCAACGAAAGCAGCCAAGGACAGAATGAGGCTTGCCACAGCCGTGAAAATCATCAATTGCATGCATGTCGTCACTGCTCTAGCAGAAAACTGGCTCGTTCGCCGCAAAGAATATACGCTGGCTTGTCAGTTTGGGAACAAACTTCACCTCCAGACAGGTAAGGAAGCGTTCGTTGAGCGTTATCAATGTCCGCTTTCAAGCTTTGTGCGCCTCATGCAGTCCAACATCATCCTGGTTTTCTCTGTGTTCGGTAGAGTTGTTCTCTGTGTTCGGTAGAGTTGTTCTCTGTGTTCGGTAGAGTTGTTCTCTGTGTTCGGTAGAGTTGTTCTCTGTCTCTGTGTTCGGTAGAGTTGTTCTCTGTGTTCGGTAGAGTTGTTCTCTGTCTCTGTGTTCGGTAGAGTTGTTCTCTGTGTTCGGTAGAGTTGTTCTCTGTGTTCGGTAGAGTTGTTCTCTGTGTTCGGTAGAGTTGTTCTCTGTCTCTGTGTTCGGTAGAGTTGTTCTCTGTGTTCGGTAGAGTTGTTCTCTGTGTTCGGTAGAGTTGTTCTCTGTGTTCGGTAGAGTTGTTCTCTGTGTTCGGTAGAGTTGTTCTCTGTGTTCGGTAGAGTTGTTCTCTGTGTTCGGTAGAGTTGTTCTCTGTGTTCGGTAGAGTTGTTCTCTGTGTTCGGTAGAGTTGTTCTCTGTCTCTGTGTTCGGTAGAGTTGTTCTCTGTGTTCGGTAGAGTTGTTCTCTGTGTTCGGTAGAGTTGTTCTCTGTCTCTGTGTTCGGTAGAGTTGTTCTCTGTGTTCGGTAGAGTTGTTCTCTGTGTTCGGTAGAGTTGTTCTCTGTGTTCGGTAGAGTTGTTCTCTGTCTCTGTGTTCGGTAGAGTTGTTCTCTGTGTTCGGTAGAGTCTCTGTGTTCGGTAGAGTTCCAAAGACGTCTGACAGTGCACTTCTCCTGCACCCACTGAGCCTGCTCCTGGTAGTCCTAGCACAGTCCGATACTCGGCGGTATCTGGTCGGTCCAGCCGGCCCTGCTGATCTTGCTTGGGGTCTGACATGTCACCAGGTCCTCACGGTAAGATGTCTGACTACATGTATCATCCACGGAATCTGTAAATGGTTTCAAGTTAGATGTGTGCAAGTCAGTCACTGCAGCATACCGTTTTACATTAATTTACGTGCAAAGCACTTCGTCAAATATCAAGACTGATCAGTATCACAGCGTTAAAGTAACTGTTCAACTTTGAAAATACATTGAATTGAGGTAGCCGTATTGGCGGGGAACTCGATAAAAATCTGGGCGTGATCGTCATTTGACTTTCATCTAGGTACTTGCTTTTCGAGAAAAGTGCTTCCCTTATTGCAATGTGGACCTTACTTAGGCTGTGCCATTTCAACTTGAGTGCGGGTCTGAGTGACGTAATGAAATCAGTGCTGCTTTTCAAATTTATTTTATTTATTTATTCTATCACCAACAGGGCAACCCCCACTTACAGGTGAAGTCACAAAATGTAATTGTTGTATGTAAATGTAATTGTAATTGTAACAACAAAATGTAATTGTTGTTGTAAATGTAAATGCTTGCTACTTAGAAAACCTTTGAATTCGTGTGGGCCACTGCCGGATCGAAAAAGGCGGCCTTGGACACTGCGGGGTGGGCATACTAACCAAAACAATTTCTCCAGTCAGTTTTCAAAAACTTTCCGGATTTTGATTCCCCACGCATTCCTGTACAGTTTAAAACAAAAGTTTCCGAATAAGAATTGTTTTTTCCTTCCATCCTCGAAAAAAAAACGTAAATTTTCGTCGAATTCGGGCACCACGGGAGGACATTTGTCCCGATTGCCCCTTTCTCTTGGATCCATCAGTAGGGTGGACGTAAGCACTTAAAACGTACATATGACGATTATGTTTTCTAATGAATTGCGCATGAATCAATGGATATAAGACTCCTTAACCTTAAAGGGACTATCCCACCTTCAAAAAGTACCATTTAGGATTCGGAAATGTTACTCATGATATTGTGACGAATTCTGCAAGTTTTTACGCGTTTTCATTGTATACTTTTTAGATATTGCGACTTTTATATTTCATCGTGACGTCATTTAGATGGGATCTGTGACGTAATGAAGGATTTACTTCATGTCAATGTGGGGAAATTTGGCAGCAAATATAGGTATTTGCTCTCAAATATGACGCGGCTCATACAATAACAAGTGTCTCTGATTAGCTTATTCGTAAATCAAGTGAAAATTCACATGCGTGACAGGCGTTCAAAATGCAAATGACGTCATCAAATGGCCGTTAATAGTTAAGAGATAGGGCCTTAGCTAAGGCCCACTTTTCAAATGAAGGGAACGAATTTCTTTAACACCACGAAACTGAGGATATGGCGACCAGGATATATAGTGGTTTCTGAACCTGGCCGCCAACTTGGCTATCTCAACTCAGAACTAATGCAAAGGTGGGACAGTCCCTTTAATCCCAGATCAGCGGCGCGGCGCTCACCTGGGCTCCTTGTGGTCGTGTGACTGCTGCCGACCATCCACACTCAGTCCACCACCTGCATACCCATCTCCTCACAGGACTCTGAAACAGGGAGGAGCAATCAGTGACATCAGGCTTATGCACCCTCGCCACTCACTAATTTCTAGCTTTATTTGTAAATCTGTGTATAGCTCTAAAACTTTTCAAGATTCTTCGTACCTTAATTATTTTCTATGAAATGTTGAACCAATAGAAATAAGGAAAAGACAACGAAAGCATTTACAATTTACATTGTAAACTCGTTCCCGTAATTTAAATAGGGCGTATCGCAAAGTGAAAAAGAAAATGGATATCTAAGCCACTCTTCTGTACGGGACTTGAAGAACCAGCAAGTGATCAAGCGGTCGGGTGCAAGTAACATCGGCTGCTGGACGCTGGTCGCGCACCGACCACCGCCTTCACTCACTTTCAGGCGGTTCTCGGATGACCAGTTGGCGCACACCCCAGTTGTCGCGACCGTTGTAGCGACGCGCTTCGTTGTGGTTGTCGTTGATGAAGGTTCCCGGTGCGTGGGGGTTGCTCCTGATCCAGAGGCCCGGATGGTTATAGTTGTCCAGGATCTTGATGCCCCTGAGCATGTGGAATATCTCTTGTCGATACTGGCGTTCGATGCCTTTGCGCTCTCTTTCGGCCAGCCCTGGCTCGTTAAATTCGACCCAGTACTGGTTTTCGCGACCACTGAAGCCGAGCACCCGCCTCTTGATTTTTAACTTTGAGACCACTTTGGGGTATCTCCCTTTCCATGCCTTGGCCCGCTTGCGGTCCCGCGTCTGCCACTCTTCCTCCTTGCGATCCACAGCCTTGTTGAGGACCATCAGTAGCAGTTCCGGCTGTAGCAGCAGCTCGGCACGGCCCAGCGGTGTGTCCAGCTCGGCGGTCATGCGCAACGTCTTCCCGTCGACGGTTTTAGCTACCGCTCGCTTGTCCTCTGGAAGCTGCAACTGCCTGTGGCACCAGCCGACCACTTCGTCCGGATCCGGACCAACCACAAGCTTCAGGTCCGAGTTGTTCAGCGCGGCCATGACGGGCGAGGCGCTCAGCGTCTTGAGAAATCCGTCCGGTGCATCAGATGGCTCCTTTACCACAAAGTCAGCCCGGTCCAAGACAGTCCAAGCCTGCAGCATGCAACACTGCATGATGTAGGAGCTGGAGATGCAGTGGTAGCGCCAGTACACTAGCAGGGGGTCGGACGGGAGCCTCATGGCCTGGCAGTTGTGCTTGAACCAGCAGTCCCAGCAGGGAGCTGACGGCCTTGCGCTGATGCTGTCATCCACGCCCCTACAGACCAGGTAGCCTGCCAGCTGACGGCGCAGCTGACGCTCTGTCAGCGGCTCCATCCCCTCCCCCAGAAGAGCGGCCAGGTCGAACTCTTTGTCACAGCAGGCCAACAGGAGTTTGGTCAGATCATCCCTCATCAGACACACTGTCTTGATCATACCTTCTCGTCTAGACTCGCTGAGGTGTGCTGTCAGATCCAGGGCGCGCCAGAAGAAGCAGGGCAGTTTGCCTTCCTTCAGGTGTCGTTGCAGCCATTCCAGAACCATTTTCACGCCGGCAGTGACGCCTGTCCAGCAGTCGCTGGGCTTGTCCTGGGCAGTCCAGAACACAGCGGTGGTGATGTAGTCGGTAATCAGGGGCGTCTTCACTTTCAGGATATCCTGCATGGTGCTCACGGCTCTGGCGGTGGCTAGCTGCATTGCACTCAGACAACGAATGCCTGCCACCATGGCCCGAGCGAAGCAGACCTGCCAGCACCAGGATATGTCCTCGGGGTACCGGTCAGGTCTAGTGACCGGTATCAGATGCACGCCGAAGTTGCAGATATCGTGTCGCGCCGCCTTTGATGGAAAATTGCCGTCACGGTGGAGAAACTCCTCCTTGTCTGGCCACCAAGGCGCGTGGAGGCATGCCACGTCGTACACTTCGGCCTCCACATCGTCCGGCCAGCGGACATAGTCGCCCGGGCCGGGCGGCTCCAGCGGGTTATCCGTGAACCGCATCCGTCGGAAGTCCTCCATGACCCTACCGAAGGCGCTGGGTATCATCGCATCGAGCGGATTGTCGTGCTCACACTCGGAGGTCCTTGCCCAGTGCAGTGTCACGAAGCCGGATGAGTCAGTCATTCTGCACCACACCAGTGGCCCATCTTCTTTGTCGATTTTCTTCGGCTCATCTGCTTCCATCACAGCGTCCGTCCACTTGATTGGACCAAACTCCACCATCATGTCGTGGTCGGTTGCTAGCATGTCGTGGTCGCCGCTGGCTCCTTTGTCGTCGTATTTGACGGCATACAAACCCTGTGCACTGGCACCGTACCGATCCAGATTCTGAACATCGAGTGGCTTGCTGCTTTCAGCGTCCTCGACGAACTTGTCCGGCTCATAGGGCTGGTTTTTCACCTTGCACATAACTCTCCGCTGATTAGGTGGATACTCCTTCGGTTGACAGGCACAGTAGTATTTGGCACCGTCAACATCGTTGTTTTCCAGCAGTGCCCGCATCAGCGGCCTCAGTGTCAGCCAGCGAAGCTTGTCAAAGATACCTTCGCAGCGCGCCTCAACAGTCTTGCCTATCGGATGGTCGTTGATGAGAGCCGCAGTCACGAGCAGGGTGTCTGGCACCAAGTGAGCGGCGTGACCGCACCTGGCTACCAGCGGTTCAATCGGCTTGCCCTGCTTATCCAGGACAGTTAGCTCATTCATGTTCAGCGCCGGGCAGTTCACTCAGCGGCGCGCTTCACCGTCCACTCAGCGAGTCGCTCCGCTGTTCACACTCAGCAGCGCGCTGCAATATTCACTGGGTCAGGCGAGCCATGACACTGCCCACTGAGTCGCAATCGGCTGCAGTATTCACTGACCCGCAGTCCGCTGCACCCTGTACTGCACAGTGCACAGTACACACTCTGCTCACGTGCGGCGGCCGCTCCACCTCCGGCCGGGTTTCGTCAATGCCTGACCACGCGCGCGATAATGCCGCCGTCGGACTGACGCTAGCGACGTCACGGGTGAACAGGGGCGGAGACAGGTCGCGCCAAACGGGGGGAATACTGTACCAGTACAGATGAGACTGGTCCATCCATGGATAACACAGCACTTACATTGTGACATTAGTATATTCATTAGCCAATCATAAATCTGTTCATGTGAAGCGCAGTCATGGAGTGAAAGTAAGCACTCCCCAGCTGCCCGCCCGCCCGGTCCGGGACGCTGGCGCCGCCCCTGGTGGCGGGCCGCGGTGGAGCGGCACCGCAGCCGGGCCGGGCCGGGACCACTCGGGGATTCCCCGATCCCAGGACCGGCTTCCTGGCACCATCTGCGCTCCGCTGTGTGAATCACAGCATATGGGTCAGTCGCAAGCTAGCAAAATGCCCCCGCGCCCAATTGCTTTTATGTCCCACGCCCATGGATGCTTGGGGATAGCGGATAACATTCCTGAACCGTCTGAGGTGGTCAATGGTTGATAGTGATGTCAATTTGAGAAACTTTGAAAACAGGCACCTTACTGCAACGAACCATGGGAAAAATGGAAAGAGCTATAAATACAAACTTGATAAAATCTTGTCAAATTATCATCAGTATATTAAAATATTAACCAAATTTAGAGCATTCAACACAGTGAGGCCTGATAAAACCAACAAAATGCCGTAAATGTTAAAACAGCAAATGAAATCGGTTTGATATTGGTGTACCAGAAAGTTGGGAGACGATTGAATGACACCTCTTCTGTTTGCCACGGACGGCATACCACACGGGTTCTCAACCCTCGGACTCGAGTATCGTCTGCTGGACTGATAACGCCTTCCGGCATCCTCCCCCTCCTCGCCCTTTCCTTCTCGTCCGTCCAATGAGATAAGGATAGCCTTGGTCTGCGGTCCCTGACTGCAGATTGACATCCTGTCCGCTGCAGCCTCCAGTGCTGTAGCTATGCGCTTACGGCGTTAGTGCTTGTGGTGTTTATTTATATTTTCATCTAATTAAGCTTTAGGGTAGTGATGGCAGTGTAAATAATGCAACAATGGGTGCAAATGAATTAAAAGCATATTTAAAAAATGTACGTGCGCGGTGCGGTTTCAGTCTTGGGTATGTTCTGCTTCTGAAGCTTAGGAACGATTAGCCAGACTACAATGAAACTTGAATGTAGCTTAACATTTATCGTCACCCTTGCAGCTGCACCTTTATCTATTGACGTCTTCTTTTCAATCACTCTGCATTAAAAAAATCGCCAGTCATAGCCATCCGTTCAGATTGATAAGCCCGTACATTACCTACTCTAGCGGTTGACTGTACAGTGTACATATCTTCCCACTTTTTTTAGGCGACACTTAAATCACTGCACTAAACTATCAATTATCCCTTGCCGGCCGAGGGGAAAGGGGGGGGGCGGGTGCCGCGGCTGCCGCCCCCCCCAAAAAAAAAAACATTCTCAGGATAATCAAACTCAAATCCTTCACCTCCACGCCTTAAACCTCCGCTCCGGCCTTTACGGGAAACTTAATCCCATGCGGGAATGGAATCTTCCATAGGAGCACGTCCGTAACCAGGTGCAGTGAGTGTTTTGGGGACTGGGTGGCCTGTCCACTGAATGGGCTCAGCCCTGACGACTCGCTAGGGTGCCCGCCCGGACCAATGTCTCCCCCCCCCCCTAATTCCTATCAGCATCATCCTCCCGGCTCTAAAATAGTCTCTTCAAACCGAAAGACTCAAAAGAGCCTAACCTTACAAAACACCAACGAAACTAATTAAAATGCTTTCGAAAGCATTCTAAGGAATCAATGGCAATTGGCAACTTGTTTTTTTTTTCTGCAGCGTTCTCTTGGCCTGACAGCCTTGTCACCGAACTGGACGAACAGCGTCACCTGGAGCTCGATTTCTACGTACAGTAGTGTCATCTACCGGTAAGGTCGCGAACTAAGGCGATCGTTCGGTGGGTGCTCCTTGACGCACTCTGAGCACTTAGGGGCGCTGAACTGTCCCACAGTAAACAGCTCTCATGTTCATACATATATTTTGGTACATATATTTTGGTAAGGAGAACATAGATAGACCCTCGCCCGCATCAGGATTTTGCAAGTTGCTGACTATGGGTTGGGGTGGCGGGGTGGGGTGGGGTTGGGGGGTTGAACCCCCACCTCCAGTCGTTCGGCCTCTGATCGAGCTAGAGCTTCACGGAAAAAATAAATGTGTGGCACGCGACGAGAGGAAGCCGTTCGCCAAACCCTTTGAAACACCAATTTTTCGCGATTATTTTTGAACGCGCGGAAGAATTTCAACCAAATGTAAGCATTCTTGCTATGAGACTGGAACAGCAAATCTTGCGAAACCTTCACGGTTGTGCTGTGCTGTAATTTGTGAATGTGAAAAGGAGGCTGTGTTGTAAACATCTCAGGCTCGCTCAAAGACTCCCGTCTCTGTGAGCGGCCACGGATCACCAGTGGAGCGGCACCACCTTTCATCACCAATCACCAATCACCAGCCGCCCCTGCCAGCCGCTCCCGCCCCCACCCATTCAGCTGGCCAAAACTAACACCTCGGTTCGACAGGGCCGCTGGCGCTGTCAGCGTCTGTTGATTGCGGTGCTGTATGCTGTAAGCCACTACGGACTGAAGGCTGCTGTTTCTGTTTGTGTTTTAGGGAAGTGTTGTTTTGTATATGTCAGCCCGCGCATGACACATATTTATAGTCACCGTGGACACATATTTCATAACATGAGTGACTGGGCGGGGGCTATACAGAGTCCCGATTACAGAGACGCCAAGACTCTCCCAGCGGCTGTGTGAGTTTCGACTCTGCCTGACAGCGGCGCCGACATCACTGTCGCTGGTCCGGACTTCTTGGATACCATCGGATCGGAGGACACGTCGACAGCCTGCTGGACACGGAGGAACGACCGCGAGCCGCCGCCGACCGCCCCATCCGTCCTCTGGGAATGGTCTTCCGTTAGTCTTCAGCTTGCCAGAAGGATCTGTCGTCAGTCGTCATTGCCCCGTGAGACTTCGTCACCGACCGTGAAACACTCTCTCTGGGTTGTTTCACGGAGAACATCCCCTATTATGAGCGATTAAACCGAATATATGTACGTCTTCTCTTTGATCACAGTCACACCTACTGTTCCGCACCCTCCAGTTACCTTGTTAACTCGCGCTTCCGTTTTTAGATAGCCGCTTTGTTCTGGTGTCAGCCCAACTTCCGGCTATTTTCCAATTCAACGCCTCCACCGATCGGGCGTTGTCGAAAATCGGTAGCTCGCGCTGGGTCAGAAGCGGCTGGTGCTCGCGCCCTAAGCCCGCCATCACGGTCGACCGGTCGACCCGCCACGTAGGCCTTTTGACTTTTGGCATCGTGGTCGGGTCGGTTTATCGACGGACGCAGAACAAACGGCGCTCCGTGGGCCCGGCGACTCGGTCCAGACAGCCGGAATGAGTAAAAGTCTCAGCGGGAGCCGATCTGTCTGGGATGGGGGAGAGGTGGCTGCCAGGGGCTGGCACTGTGGACGCTTCCCTAGGGTGGCGGGTCGGAGGAGCATCCGAGAGAGACGGCAGCCGCACCCAGGGGAGGATCCCAAAGCGAGCCAAAGCGTGCTCTGAGAGAACAATTCTGTCATACATTATTCCTCAGGAAGCTTTACATATGGAGAAAGGATGATTTGCTTCGGAATGTTACATAAAGCTGACTGAGGATAGGAAGCTCGTATTAAGAGCGCTATTATGAAAACGGGTAGCGAGTCTGTTTGATGAAGCATAGTGGTAATTATAATAGCAACTATGCAATTATGATTCATAATCATTATATTGCAATTATCATATCAACTACCCATCATAATTGCAATCATTATGCAGATTTAGACAGGCTGAAGAAGAAAGACGAACGTCATTCGAAAGCTAAACCTACGCATGTTGGCCACTTTGCCCCAGGCCCCGGGGCAAAGCGGTCACTGCACCGTCGACTTTCGTGCCCGAATATGAGAAACAGGCTAGTTGCCTCATGAAGGAAGGCTTTTGATGGAAAAAGGTTTAAAAGAGGATGGATATTTATTTTGCCATCGTTTACCTGTAGGCAAACAATGCAAGTGAAGGACATTCATGAAAAACATTGAATTGCATTATGTGGGTAGCTTATGTAACCAAAAAGTGGCCGAGATGAACGCATGACAATACATTTCAATGTCAATACAGCTTATTGTCCAATTGGAAGCAATTTATCGAATTAGGAGCTGTTCACTCTGCCCTGTCCGCTTTTCCCCCGCCTCCCATCCGGGACAAAACATCTTCCAGTTCAGTTATTAGTGGGGCAAAACGCATTAAAATTGGCAGAGGATATGCGCAATAACATTAACCACTCAATGCAGGAATGACAACACTTAAGTAATTTTCGAAACGGTTATGCTATAAAATAACATTTAAAAAGCGTTAGAATATTGGGATAAAAGCATAACCTGGGAAAATATGCCTCTTGGTATGTCACAGAAAATTACGTTTTTGGCGTAATGCCGACGCGTCGGGTTGGAAACTTCAGTCTGGCTCATCCGAACCACCACGAAGAGAAGTACAACTGGCAACCATAAACTGGAGCTGACGCCAGTTGTGCTGGGCTAAAACGAAGGGTGGCCGCTTTGCCCCTGTCTCCCCTACACATCACAAACTACACGGTTTGCTTTTCACATCACGTGATAGTCGCTGTCACGATATCGAGAGTACAGCATGTATGACGTGACCGAGGACAGCCTAGCCGCTAACGTGACTGTCCAGCCCATATTATGAATGAGCCGGTAATCGTCCAACTGTTGGACCTAATGATGCATCGCGGTTCACATTGCCTGACCCAGAACAGGGCTGTGGCTCGGGGATTGTTTGAATAATTTGAAAGTGCTGCACGCAACGACTGACATGCGAGTCCCGGTGACTTTTGGTGGAAACATGACTGGTGGTTGCGCGGTGTTGTTAACCCTCGCCCGCACATGCCATTTTCCCAT